TGTAACAAAAAATGAGCACACTCTATTGAATCATTCAATCGAATTTGATAATCACTTTGACTCTTTACTGTTTGCTCGGATAATAAAGTCATGATACTTTGTTTTTCATTCATTAAATTCTCACATTTTATCCAAGCTGCATTGTGACTATCATTAAACTTTCCAATATGAAGATCAAATCTTTCCCTTCTTTTTTTCAATTTTAAAATTCATCACTCACAAACAAATCAACACCCCTTTTTAACTTGAAAATGTAACAATACAAGTAAAAAGCAGCATCTTTAGCTATGTTATACTCTAACCATGTTGGGTATGCACCAAACCAAGCTGGATTATAGCATCGTAATGTTGATATATTCCCAAATTATTTTTTAGGAAAATCATAATGTGAAGGTTGACAAGGACCTTTTTATAGATAATTTCTTCAAATTGCATCTCTATCATTTATATGGTATTCATAAATTGATCTTCTTAAACCAGGGTTAGTAAGGAGAGTGTCAGGGTTGATTTCAATATAATATTTTTTTGAATTTGATTGGGTTATATGACTTGAAGTTTTATTTGACTCTTCATTCTCAAGAGATCTATACTTGAAATACTTATCCAGTGACATGTTAATTTAATATGAACTTGTTGGATTTTTTTTTATCATCATTAGTACCTACATAATAATTAACACAACTATATAATAATTCACTGTTAAATAAAAGTAAGTTGAGTTATACAATAGTTCTAAATCTTCCATATAAAATTCATAGCAAAACATACATCAATTCATCAAAATCAAAATCTATTTCAATTCATATTTATACACATAATAAGTATGTTGATTAAATTATACTTAATCATTTCTAGATATTTAATTAAAAAACAATGCTTAGTGTATGTGTAAGAGGAACAATTCTTGAAAAACATGATTTCTACTTGATATTTTACTTACAAACAAATCATGTGAAAATATTAAATTTCAATAAACTACTCTGTCAATGTAAAAGATGTCAAGAATTGTAGTTTTGTATGAATATTAATTTATTCTCTTATAATAAGAAAATAACAACTTAATTTATTAAATTAGCAGATTTAAACATTTAATTTGAATATATTTGAATATATTCATATCCACACCTCTAAATTATCATAAACCCTAATATTTTTAATAGCTAATTATAAAAGAATAAAATTAAAATTAAACGATGAAATAAAAAAAATAAAGAAAATTTGCCTAAAATATAAAGCAAAAAACAAAAAAAAATAATTACTTAATTATGAGAAATTTATTTACGGGAAAGACAGGGAACAATAACTCATAGAAACAACAAAGCAACACAACAGCTCATAAAAAGAACAAAGCGGCATGTTATATTAGTTTATCTGGTCTAAAAAGAATAATGGTATTTAAAATTATAAAACAACATGTTATATTAGTCTAAAAAGAATAATGGTATTTAAAATTATTAAAAAATAAAGAATACATGCAGCAGGAAGAGATAATATAACAATGTTCAAAAAAAAAAACTTGTGTTATTAATCTAAGTATAATCATATTAAATAATAATGAATCATGCTCATTTATCATCCAAGTATACATTGTTTGCAGAAGCAATTATTCTTAGAACTAATAGAGTTTTTTACTCTTTTTCAACTTATTCTTTCTTCTATTATATGTTAACAGCAACAAACATATTTACAAGGGTGAAGAATTACTAATATTTAGCCGTTATTGTGAGGATGTATAACTATTAATTATTATTTTTTATGTTATCTTATTAATATAAATAATATTAATATGTATTTAATTGAATTGATCTATTATGGACTCCCCAAATCCTTTTTTTTTTCCCGAGCAACATTTCTCTTTCAACTTTCAAGTGTAAATTACAAAACATGTAAAGGTTTCTTGCTATGTGTTCCAACTTGAAACTTCTTAAGAAAGAGGGGAGATATGAATATCATTTGATGGTTGTTATGTCGAAACTTTTATTATTACGACCATTTAAAGTTTTATCTAGAATAGCACTTGCAGTATTTAACTTATAAATATATGGTAAAAAAAAATTGTGAGTTTGTAAAATCAAAGTAGCTTAGAGTAAAATTTATATATTAGATAATATATTAATTTTTTAATTTTATATTTATTTTTTTAAGTCAAGTTGATAAGTAGCTTGTACTTGGTGTTTGACTACTTTTTTAGGCTGAAATGATTGAGTCTAGATATATTATATTGATCGTGAGTTTTTTAGTCCTTGAAGAGTTTTTAGATCCAACTTCCCTACTACGATTATGATTTGTAGCCTTAGTTAAAGGCGTGAAGATGGATGGGAGAAGGCAATGAAAGTTGAAAGGAGAGGAGGTAGAGGAAGGACTAAGGGGATTAATTGAAGGGTTGAGGACACCGGAAGAAGAGCTTGAAGAGAAGCTTTAAGTTGGTGGTGAGAGCATAGGGTTAGCTGGAGATCCGTTCTATGCTTTTGAGAATTTTAGAATCGAGGTAGAGTGTCCAAGGATATCACAGCATAGGCCATCTGCAAAGGGAAGGTGTTTCCTGCTCTCCTCCTCGCCCGCACAAGATCTTCGGCTATTAACCAGTCAATTTTTCAGTCTGATTTCATTTATTTATTCATGATATTTTTTTTGTGAGGTGATTTTTAGATGTTAATTTTAAATTTTTAGAGTGTACTGATAAACTGTCCAGGCAAAGAACTACAATCTAAGAAACAAAAAACTAACATGACTAGGAAACAAACAGCAAACTAGAAGAGAAATGACAAGCAACCAATCATAACAGACATGTGCTTCCAAAAGAAATTCTCTGCAAACCCACTAGCAGACCACATGATGTCTTAAGGGACACCTCCCTTCCCAAACCAGTAGCTCATGATCATAGTACATCAGAGGCCATGTACACAGGTTTTACCAGAAGCATAATGCAACAGAAATATGCCAAGGGACAAGAAATGTATACAAAAGAACGCAATGCTTAAGTGATGGCAAGCAAGGTGTTCAATCAAAATCCTTGGATAGTGAAATTATTGCAAGTCTTAAAAAAGATCCCTTTTGAGTTCATAACTTCATAGATTTACAGTGACACCCCCATTATATCATCATAATTAGACAACTCCATCTGGATCCCGCATCCAAAACCATCCTGCTTTTCTTCTTCAACAGTCCTTCAGTAACAATACACCCAGAAAAATAAAAAGTGTGAAATGAAATTAAAAGGACCTTGGCTTCGCAACAATAGTGGAGTGCTTCAAGATGTGCAAACTGAACTGTCCACCTTTCTCTGCGGTGTCGATCTTTGACTGTCCGGGAGGAGGCAAGAGCTCAAAATTCTGTACCAGACGTCCCAGAGTAATGCCAAGAATTGGCAATGCAAGAATAATCCCAGGGCAGCTCCTTCTCCCAACTCCAAATGGAAGGTACCTGAAATCATTGCCATTGGCCTCAACCTTGGCCTCCTCTTCCAAGAACCTCTCTGGCCTGAATTCTTCAGGGTTTTTCCAGTGGGCAGGGTTGTTGGCGAGCCACCAGGCATTGACCAAGATCTTGCTCTCAGCTGGAATGTCGAAGCCTCCAAGCTTGGCATCATGAAGGTTCATGTGTGGGACAAGTAGAGGAATTGCCATCCTGAGTCGGAGGGTCTCTTTGATAACAGCGTTAAGGTAAGGGAGCTTGTAGGTGTCAGGCTCGGTGATTTGGTGACCAGGTCCAAGCAAGGTATCAAGCTCATGGCGCAACTTCTTCTGGATCTCAGGATGGTTCACAAGCTCAGCAATCCCCCACTCGATCGACCATAGTGTTGTCTCAATTGCTGTTCCATAAAACAATCAATTTTAATTTAGCTAATTAATCTACTATTGAGTTCAACCCGTACAAGAATATACTTAGATGAACAAAATCTTATTCTAAATTTTAAATTAAAAAAAAAAACATAGAGAAAGGCGCAAATCTGTCTAACTATCACACCTACCTCCTGAGAAGAAAAAAATATGTTAATTAACATGGGGCAGGTGAGAAAATCATTCCCTGTGTCTGTGTGTGTCTATACATAGATATATACATGCATAGATATACATACATATATGTATGTATGTGTGTGTGTGTGTTTGTGTGTGTGTGTGTGTGAAGTGTGGAATAGAAGGATAATGCCCATATGACACTTGAAACTTTCTGAAAAGCCTAAAGTAACAACTCAAATTGGAGGTGGTTCGACCAGATCTCAGGTGCCTGAACTGCATTAAATAAATCTGTGTATGTTTGGATGTGTTTGGGTACAACTGCAAGCTATGTTTTTATAAATTTTGAGTTTTTTTTAATTTTTTTATTTAAAATAAAAAATATTTTTAAATTATTTTGAAGTTCTTATATTAAAAATAATTTTTAAAAAATAAAAAATAGTTTTTAATCATTACAACAATCATAATTTTAATCAAGCCCGGTGGCGTCCCCACGGCTCATAGCTGGTGGGTGGTGGTCCAGCTCCTACTTGCAACCTAACACCATCAATTCTGACTCGAGCCCTTGTGTGCGTGTCTGTATAGAAAGTGACTTGGGGACCTCTTAATATTAATAGATTTTACTTGTAATTTCTCAGAGGGTTGGCATTTGGGTTTTGGGTACTGGATGTTAATTTACTTGCAAAAATGCCCTTCCAGTAGGTGAGCATGAAACGGCGGCACTGACTCCTAGTCAGGGATAGAAAATAATTAAATTAAACTACATACCGGCGACGTTGATGTTCTCAACAATGTAAAGGACGTTGTCCTCGTTGATCTCTCCCTTCTTTTGAGCATCCAGGATATGGTCTATTGCGCACTTCAACCCTTCATTGCTCATGTTATTTGTGCTTGCAAGTTTCCTAGTGTCCAATAACAACCTCGTTAGTAACCATTGCCATCTCTGCCTAACTCAACCTTAAAACAGACTCATTGCAAAAGAAAAGTACAGTTACGGGTCAGATCGGTTGAACCACAGGTTGTAACCGGATTATAAATTAACCCGGTCAACTTTAAATTAATTCTTTTAATAATAAATCTAAGATTAGCTCTTCAAGAGTAAACAGGTATATATATATATATACACAGACCTCGATGTGCAGAATCACACAAGATGCCAAAAACTATAAATTCCAGACGGCAAAAACCACGAGGACATGGCAGCTGCCAGTCCAGAGAACAGAAACTAGAAATGTCGGCTAGTTATCCATCAAAATCAAATTCCCTAAGCATGACGCTGTAAATGATGAATAAGTAGGAAGAAAAAGAAGAGTTGAATTATAATATTAAGGAGGGATTTTATTAATACAAGAATTTACATTTTATTTTTTTAATGCTTAACATCATGATCTATCTAGAACATGCTTTTAAGGCCAGATACTATATACTTGAATTGATTTGATTAGTTGCCTGAATATTAAGTCCCAAGAAAAAAAATCTAAAATAGTGAATATGCAGTGAACTAATAATAATAATAATAATAATAGATTAATATTAATAGATTACTAAATTGTTCGGGATTATTTATTAATTAATTAAGAAACTAAACGGCCAAGATCCGATCTGTTAAAAATTAAAAAAAAAAAGGGAAGGAAAGGAAGGGAGAAACTTACTTCCTCTCATCGACAAAGTAGTCCTTGAAGAGTTGCAACCTTCTCTCCTTAACCTCCTTGCAGATCTTCAAGTAACCTCTCAAGAAAGGTCTCAAGATGGGGATGAAATCACCATAATTATACTCAAAACTCTGAGCCAATCTGCTCCTCTCACCATTCAAAGCCTTGAGCTTGTTAAACAAAGGATCATCTTCGCTCTCAAATCTTCTGTCAAACATAATCCTGTACATATTATTATACATCATGAGTTGCAATCTCCTCCTCAAAACAATCCCATTGGTTGCAGCCTCGGGGTTTTTCTTAACATCCTCGACAACTTGAGCCGCTTCCTCTTCCCATCCATACCTATATTGTTGAACAACCTTGTTCGTAAAGAAAGGGACTGTCATGATTCTCCTCATCTTCCTCCAATGTTCACCATAGACAGTGAACACCATGTCTTGTCCCTTTCCAGTAAAGATATCAAAAACAACATTTCTTGTTCTCGACCCGAACTCAACACCTTGTGTGTGCAGAACCTCTTTGGATAGGTCAGGAGAAGAGACGACAACAAGGTTACGTTGGCCCATACGAAGGAGGAAGATGTCACCGAATTTCTTGGCTAAGTCGGTGAGGTTACGGTGGTTCAAATCATCACCAACTTGAAGCCAGTTTCCGAACACGGGAACAGGTAAGGGACCTGGAGGGAGTTTGAAACGTTTGCCACGTAGTTTAGAAACGAGAATGGCGACAAGAATGGCTACGAAAGAACCCAAGAGGGTCTTCTCCAGGAGGAGGAGATCCATGATATTGGAACTGGTTTCTTTGTCAAAAAGAGGCGGGGATTCTTGAGGAAGAAGAGTGATGGGTGGATGGGAGCAACAGAATGAGGAGAGCTTGGGCTTTATAAGCAACAAAAATCAGAGAGGAAATGAAGTTGAATTTCACCGGTTAGGTGGTGGAGCGTGTGACTGCTAGCTAGGGTTGTGTGTGTGGGGGGGAGAGAGGGGGGGGGAGAGAGAGTTAACGGCGTTACATTTGAGGTGGTAGGAGATTGACATTAATAATCATGGATAGTAGTAGGTAAGGCGGGTTGGTGGGCGAAAATGTCATATGTTCATCATATTAATTAATTTGCCATGCCTTTTTGTATTCCTATCCAATATGTAATGTGGGCGCCACTAATCTATGATGATTTTATCAAGCTTCAAGGGATAAGGCTGTCATCCTTGAAAGTCTTTTTTTCCTGTCCTTTTCCTTTTTAATTCTTGTGTTTTCAAAATCCCCTTAAAATTGAGATAGTCTCCTGCTGTTCGAAAATATTTTTTATTTAAAATTATATTAAAATAATCTTTAAAAAATCATTAATTTAATGTATTTTGAAGATAAACACATCTTAAAAACAAGTAAAAAAGGATCAATCCAAGGTATTCAAGAGAAAAGGATTAACAAATCTTCTTAATATTAATTTCAAGATTTCAACCTAAAAAGTTAATAAAAGAAATCTTTCTTTAAACTATAAGGTCTTGCTTTTATTAGAGATTTTATCCCATGGTGTGACAAACTACTTTGCATTTATACGTGTTTCCAAGAATAGGTTTGTCTTCTTGCAAAGGTCACTTTCTATCTTAAATCTAAGCCACGTTAGTTTCGTACGTCACGAAATGTTTTTCTCACCTTGTCATGTTTGGCTAACTTGATCAAAGGAAAGATGAGCTTAGAGCAGGGGAAACAGCTTATAAGCCGTGTAGAGATGAGAGTATGATGAGACTATTTTTGCAGTTGAATCATGGACACCATCATTGATTAATTATTGTCTTTAATTTGTTAGCATTATTCTTTACATGTACCAAACACCATATAATTATTTTCAATTGGTTTATCATCAACATAGCTAAAAAAATGAAAAATAATATTTATTTACTTTTTGTATAAATTAAACACAGAGCTTAGCATATGATTTTTTTCTTCTTCCATGAGTGGACTGCGGTGTATAAATACCTAATATAAATTAACGGGTGATTCGAGCTTTACACCAAATACCAAAAAAAAAAAAAAGTCAAGGAGCACGATCATGCCTTATAGCTTTGCATAATTTTTAATTTATTGATTAATCTGCATTAATAGCTAGCCGTATAAGCTAGGTTGTATTGTCTTCCTTTCTTGTTAAACCTACCACGTAAGTGGGTTGGTGGTTTTAATTGATTGGACGTGCATCTCATGATTAAGGTACCTCTAGGGGAATTTAGTGTAAAATCTTAATTTTGTACATCAATTGATATTGACAAGTAAGAATATATACATAGACTATTTTAACATTGTAAACAGAATTATTGATGATTTTATTGGTCAGAATATTAATTATTAATAATTTTTTTTCATAATTTTATCATAAAAATAATAATATTACAGACAAAAGTGTATCTAAAAACAAAATTTCCCTTAAAAACATTAGTTATAAATTTATTTCATTTGTATTTTCAATAATAATCATCAACGGATAGATTCCATCAATAATAGCAATAATAAATACCTACGAAATATATCAGTTAGTAATTATAGTATAGATGATAATTTTTTTGCAATTCTCGATCAAATACCGATAGCATGGTTCTATCTTTAAGACTATCAATATTGATTTAAAATATTTTAAAAAATTATTTATTAATAATAAAAAAACTAATTAACCAAATAAAATTATATTAAACATTAAAAATATAAAAATAATATTATTTTAAATATTCATTATAAATTTAATGTGTTTCAAAAATAAAATTAAACTAGAAAAACGATGAAAAAGGAAAAGGTTAGTTGTTCCAACCATACGGCCAAAAAGGGGCAGTACATGTATTATCCACCATCCTTGATCAAATATCCATGACCATCTAATGGAGCTAATCATAATCCATCTAGAGTCATTCATATTGTTATTTCAAGGCCATAAACTTCTTAGACTAGATGCTCGATACTGATGGAAAGCTCTTAATGGTTAAGAGACACTACGAACCTTCCACAAGTTTCCGAACATGGTGTTAGAGAACCCACAGACCCGATTTTTATCAGATCTACCAGACAATTCTACCTCCATCCACAAATCTGGATTGAAATTTGGATGGGTTGAAGGATCGTCCCCATATCTGTCCCTCAACCGGCTATTATAGATCTCTTGAAAATTAAAAAATCATCATATTTAATTCAAGAAAATAATAAATTATAAAATAAAATAATTGAACGAACATACCACGAAGTGTTGAGCATGGTTGTCCATGAACTATTGTACCCCCTTTTGGCAGTCTTGACTCCGCACTTGCGTCTCTACAAACAGCTGCATTAGGCTAAGCTCACGTTCAAGAGATGTACCCTATAAGAAAAAAAAGTTGCAAGTTAAATATATTTAGCAACAACAAATTAATTAATGATATAATTCATTTAAATTAATCTTACCATTCGCTTTGCATATGCACTGAATGGGATAGAACTATCGGTGTGCGTGTTCATCGAACCATAAATTTGCTAGTTGCGGTTGTTAGCACTTGACTTTGAGTGTCATGCGAACCGCTCAGACGTCACGTGCTCAATCTATTGTGTCCATATATCCCCCGAGATGAATAGTGGTTTGAATTATTGCCAATCCGCCACCTCATTACATCCTTTAAGACTGTGATCTCTCTCATATTTTTTTTACTTTTTTTATGTGTCATAAAAAATCATGCAACCTACTTCCATCGTAACAAATTAGAATTTAGAACATAAAATTATAGAACAAAAACTTATATTGTTTTTTACGTTACCTAGTTGTCGTGTGATTCTCCCATACCCTCCTCATAACATTGTTATCAACGTTATTCCACTCAAATTCATGCTATGTATAAATAATTCATTGAAAAAAATAGTACAAGATATAAAATTATAAAAATAAATTGAAAATTAGAAGTTAACACCTCCCTGAAATCGTCAAAACCATGTATCGATATTAAGTCTCCATCCAGGATGTCTGAAAACCTAACTACATTAAAACAATAAAATCTCTATAGATGATTTAAATGCCGATGTTATTGTCCAAACAGCCTTAATATTTGTGAACCTATAATTAAATAAAATTAATAAAATATTAATTAGTTGTTCATAAATTATGTTATAAGTATAAAAAAAACTAAAACCTAAACAAACTAATATTGAAAGGTCTTCCTTTCATTGTGCCTAGTACTTACGGGTGAATTGACTCTGCTTTGAAGACACACCGCCTCTACACTGTGAAACTGCGCTAAAAGAGGCAACATCACAAGTTGGCGTATATGCCTCTTCATGATCAGTACCTAAGGATAAGTCATTCTCGCTGCTAGAAGAACTAACTGCAACCGTTTGTTGAAGACGTGCTGTTGATTTCATTCTACACATTTACATAAATTTATACAAATAAATAATTAAATTCAATTATTTTTAAAAATTCAGAAGCACCTTCTTTATACTACAGACTGTCCACAGTTTTCAAACCTGCAAATATTTACAATAACCACAAACCAATTGACTCCATTAAAAAATCTTATATACAACCTAACATCTATAGAAATTTAACATCTATATATTTTAACTTAACATCTATAGAAATACATAGATGACAATTAAAATTAATTGAAATAATAAAATACATGAAAATTAATAACAGAATAAAATTGAGATAAAATAATTAAATTTAATTCATCATTTCCAATTAATTTCCATGGAAAATTGAATAATAACAATTAAAAGAGACTAAATTTTCAAATAATTATCACAATACAAACAATAAAATAATTAAATTTTCATTCTACACATCTAAACAAATTTATATTAAT